TGGGACCCAGTGTTAAGGTAGAGGTTGGTAAGGGTAGGTTTACGGTACACTTTACAGCCCAGAGAACCGTCAGGTCTCCTGTAAATATCTATGTCAAGGAAGTTTCGGTCTCCATGGTGAACTGAATGCACTGGTGGATACTGTTCAGGTGGTTCAGGAAGTCCTTAAGCTTGTCGGCCCTGTGGCCAGATGACATTTCTCTAATTCTGGAATTCCTCTTTTTATGTACAGTATTTATGCAGTGACTGAAATATGTGTGTGGAATTTAATCACATTCATACTTATTTCACCAGTGCTGTTGGTACAGATCAATGTAATTTACTTACATTTGTGCTTCCAAATATTCATGGAATGTAGTTTGTAGGAATGGATGACTACATTTCTTAGGAATATATTACTGAATATTGAGCAGATGCAGGAAATGATGGTGTTCACTATCAGCCAGGTTTAAGTATGTGATCATTTCATTAATATTTTCTAGCACTTCCTAGTACCACTGCTTTGCAGGGATGTTGTTTTCTGAGTCATTTCATGTGTTACTGGTTCCACTTTTTGTCATTTGACTTCCCGTTTCTCACTGAAGCTGCAGTATCCAGTTCACTCAGATGCTGGACAAATGGACCCTCCACATCTACTTCAATCCAAGCTACTGGATCATCTTCTCAATAGCTATCAAATGCTTCACATGTAGCCTTCATGTCTTGTTTTGGAAATCAACTTTGTAGAATTGAAGGTTCCCACAGCAGTGGATGTGAAGAGTTCTGTCTTCTGGGACTTAAAGCTACTTGGTCTTGTGGAAGTAAACTGGCATCTTGGAGGAACATGTTGCCTCCAACTTCAAAGCCAAGCCTCCCTCATTGGTTCCTGTAGATGGGTTCTTCATGGGGACACATAGGTCCATGCATATGTCTGCTCTTTTCAGGAAAACCAACTTCCATCTCTGGACACCTACAGCACTAAGCCTCTGCTATTCTTGCCCTTGTTTTCCACTGCATGTCTATATCTCATACACAGGACTTTTCTCCCACCCTTCTTGGTTCCCTGCCCACCTACACACTTATGACTTCTCTCCCTCATAGTACCAGATTTGTACAAACCATTCTTTAAGACTAATCATAGTCACCTTGCTCCTGTTTCCTATTGACTCATTCTGTCTCAGGGAGAACCAGTGGGAATTGATGAGTTATTTGGCAGTTGCCTCCTGGTTTCTATGTAATTCTGTGGTTTTGGCAAGTGAATTAGTATTTGTTTCCTGCTTCATGCTAGTTTTTTATTTGGCTTCCTATTCAATCCTAAAATGGAGGGCACATTTTCACCCAAAGCACTGGTTGACTTTCACCAGCATACACAGCATTATATCACAGAAGTCAAAGCCCTTCAGAATTATTTTTTTTTGTCTTGTCTTCTGTGACATCATCTTTTCTAATATACTTTTTCCAGCAGTTTACAATAGTAGTTGGCGAACCAGTGTTGTATGCAATATCCTTTGGCATTAATATCTTTGAAAATCCTGTAATTTGCAATTCAGAATTTACTCCACCAAGTAGCTCACTGCAGTAGTAGGCTTCAAAGGCTCCCTTGAGTCACTAAATGAATCAGTAGAGTGGTATTCTTTGGCAGAAACATAGCTCAAATATTTCCATATTTCAGATCTGGGAAATCAGCAGAAGGATGGGTTGGACACTAATCTAGCAGTAACAGTGCCTTTTCATACAGTATTCTGGAATGAAAACGGAATCTTCCTAACAGTACAAATTTACTATCAAACCAGAACTATATGCCATCCAGGCACTGAACTGATTTTGCAGACCACAAGCAGAGATTTCATGTTCATGTGCTTGAAACATGGGAGACTAAATCTTAACATCTCAACAGTGGTTTCAGCTTGTGATTGCCAGTCATAATAGAAAATGGCAACAAGATCACTCTTTATTAGTTTTCATAACTGCTTTGCTGAGTGCTCTATTAAGATTTAATAATTTGTTTGGAACCAGTTTGTAATTCAGTACTGTTTTGTTGCAGTTGTACAACTGTTCATCATCATCTCTCACTTTATGCAAAGTATCTGGAAATTGGCTGCTGCACTCTCACCATATCCACCTTTGGCATTACTTTGGCATATCCCATGTTGAAACTTCCACCTCCAAAGCCACCCTTCAGAATCTATGAATGTCTTTGTCAGTGCCAAGTAGTCTGTTAAAGCGAACTACTTGTGCTTTCAAAATTACCCCATTCACAGGCACTCTTTCCCCACACTATTGTAGGAACCACTTGAACAAACACCTGTCAATATAAAACTGTTTAGCTTCCTCTTGAAACTGAGATGCAAGCTAACCATCTACATATATTATGTGGATTGTTTATGTTGACTACATGTTGCTAACACTCTGACGAGACCATCATCAGAGGAGGTTTGTATCATTAAAAGAAAACTTTCCAAATCACATATATGAAAGGAAAGGAGCCAGGGTAATGCAGTCGGTATAGTGACTGGCTATGTGCTTGATGGCCAAGGATTTGGAGTTTGAGTCCCAGTAGGTGTAAAATTTTCTCCTCTGCTTGTTGTCCAGACTGCTTGTGAGACTCACTTGGCATCCTATTGAATGGGTACTGGAGGTTCTTTCCCCAGGAGAAAGCGGCCAGGGCGTGAAGCTGACCACTCACCTCCAACTAGTGCCAAGGTAAAGGATATGTGGATCTGTGCATCCACTCCCCCTTACATTTTCATGGCTCAGTTCTTAATTAGTTAAGCACAGGAACAACTTTAATTAATTGTAATTAATACATAAAAGTACAGGACTGAAATATCTGGAATATAAATTTATACTACAACAGATTATTAACGCCGTCCAATGTGATTGATAAATGTTATGTTTATTTTTAATCCTTCATCCTTTACATATTTCGGTTGGAGCAACCATCTTCAGAAGGACATTATCAGTACATACAGACACTATTATTACATAGAGATGTCATAAATATAAAATATTATCCTTTAACTATTACTGCAATGTGCACAAATTTGTTAAAACATTTATAAAGGTTATAATTATTCTATTTAGTTTTTAAACCATACTTGTAAATAGACTAATTATAATAATTTATAAATGTTTTAACAAATTCATGAACATTGCAGTAATTGTTAAAGGATAATATTTTATATGTATGACATTTTAATAGTAGTGTCTGCATGTAGTGATAATGACCAATGACATTGTAATAGTAGTTTCCATGTGTATTGATAATGTCCTTCTGAAGCTGGTTGCTCCGACCTGAAACATGTAAAGGACGAAAGATAAAAAAAGAATTTATCAGTCACACTGGATGGCGTTAATGGTAAAGGTAAAGTTATCTCTGTAACAGACTGTGAAGGCCCATAGGGTTGGGGAGGTTGAGGCTCCCAAATCTTCTAGACAATCGGCTTACAGATGGCAATAATGTTGTCAGCCTTATGCCCCGGCTGTCCTTTACCCCCAGGGGTAATCCCCAACCATAATCACTCGAACATTATGGGTATCCCAATTGTTTTCTAAAAAATAAAAATAGTTAGCAATGTTTTCAAGTTTAGTATCAGGGGGAAAGTAATGATTTCCAATGAGTAAGTTCATCGGAAGTGGGGATTTCAACATACACACATTCATCACAGGAATCTAAATTGTATCTGCATTTACAATAGCAAACTTTGGAGGATAGGGCAATGAGTACTCCACCACCATGTGTATTATTTACAGACACCTTGTCAGAATGGAAAACTCCATAGCAGTCAGGAAATATATTATGGTCATAACACATGTCGTTTAGCCATGTCTCAGTTAAACAGTATTATAGTCTGTGGAGCAGATATTTTCATACAGTTTGAGTTGTTTAGTCCTAAGACGTCTGACATTTTGGTAATATATATCAAAACAATTTCCAGAATGGGTGTCAGACCTGGCAAAACAACCTGTGTTGATGTCAGGTGTGCTAACCATTAACTGAGTACAGAAGCGCCCTCACCCTGGGCAACGACATCGTTTACCTTGTTTACAGACTCGCCTACAGCAGCCCTGTGCAACGCGGCACCCGCAGGCGATATGGCGCCCGGGGTATATTTTTCTGGCGCCCTCCGTAACCACATATAATTGAGCCGATTTTTAATATTAATTCAAATTGTAATACAAGAGACATTTTTGAACGTCTGAGTACTGTTTAATATTTTCGAAACATTTCATTATTATTATTATTATCATCATTAGTAGTAGTAGTAGTGGTAGTAGTAGTAGTAGCAGCAGCAGCAGCAGTAGTAGTGGCGGTGGCGGCAGCGGTAGCAGTAGTGGTGTGGTGAGAATTAGATGTAAAACTGACAATTTCCCTATCCAAATGGTTGTAATACCTCGGTCGGTAAGAGAGTATGCTATCATACCACCAGCATTTGTGTACGGCTCTCTCCCAAAAAATCAGTGGTTCACACGAATAGCTAGAAATAATAATTGATGTAAATGAAATGTTCATATTTTACAGGCACTGGTAGGAAACTTTCTCCCTATAAATAATGTTGCAGAGGTTCTTACTCCGTTGTGTATTTTCTGTTTTCGAACAGAGTTTAATATCACTTCGCTCAAAACCATCTGGAGGGGCATGAGTTACGTAAATGACGCTTTTTCAGTTCCTTAATCTATACACAGTCGGTAGGACTCCTTTGACCGGGTATAAGTCAGTCGCCAGCGTCGCAAGGACGCTACCAGCACACAGAATAACACAAACATCCACGCCTCAAGAGGGATTCAAACCTACGAGCCCAGTGTTTGAGTGGGAGAAGATGGTTCATGCCTTAGACGCCTTAGACCGTGCGGCCACTGTGACCAGCATGTATATGTAGATACTAGTCTGAAATGTACTGGTATTTCTTATGAAATATTTCTGTTGCGTGTTACAAATTAGGCGATTCTGTTCTGGACTCACTAGGCATCTAGGCATGAAGTAAGATAACAAGGATAACAAGTGTGCGACGTCATTGATACTAGTTACCTTAAAATCCGCGAGATGGCAAGCGGCACGGTATTACTATTTTTAGGATTTTTAATTTCAGTTTTCAGAAAGGCCGGATGGGCCGAATGGCCATTGGCTAGGCATGCTTTCTGTTTACATTTTTTCTTGCAATTAAAAAAATTAATATCAGAAGGGTTACCTCTCTGTGAGGATCGGTGCGGATAATTTGTAATGGTGCTGTCTGCATGGGAGCTCACGGAAAAGACAGAAATGTGTTCTGATTTAACTGAAAGGGTGCTTTTGTATTTGGATGGACATGAAAGAGTAGATACATTACACTTAGCAGTACTATTCAGAGTAGATCACCAGAAGGTTATTGGAGCTGTGAAAAGTTTGCAAGCTGTTGGTGATGTAAGTGTTATAGAAAGCCTACATCAGCTTTGAAGGAAGTTTTGGTTTTATTTAATATATTAGGAAGCTAGTTACGTGTGTGTGTTTTTTTACCATAGATTACAACACATTCAAGTACGTTCAAGTATGTCTGTAGTGTGTTAGGATGCGTTACATTTTGACGTTACTTGACGTCCCACGCGTCCCAGATGCCCGGTGTTGGGGTAATAGTGTGCTTGTGAGGCAGAACAACATCTACACATTACCGATATTCCTTATCATTGACTACAGTTCCCAAGTATTAATAATTCTTTTGAATCTAGGGAGTTAATTTTCGTATGTAGTAGCCATATATTGTAGGGGTTGATTATATTTTGCGTATTCCTTTTGTGAGTTGTGATGAAAAAATTAGTTCAGTACAAAGGTAGAGAATAGGAACATAATATCTAAATTGGAGTGTTGGAATATTTCAGAAGGGGTCATGAGGAGTGAAGGTGTAAAGTTTATTTGTAGTATGGGTTTGCATATTATAATGCAGTCGCACTTATTTACCTGTTCTCAGTTAAATGTACTAGAATATATCTCATTGGCGCCTAAACCAGTAATTTCCTTTGATATATTAATACTTAAATCCCTGAATAAGTGAAGTGACTCAAGAGGTTCAGCACACACCAAATAGTTACCTACTTGCTCACATTCATGTTCAGTCCGTATGCCAATATAATGCTGCATTGATTTAATTTCTCGTAAGTTTCCTTTTTATATTTTCTGAACTCAACACATTGTCTGCTAATGTGAATGCTTCTATGTCTCATTTTTCTCCTGTAACTTTATTAGCAGATTTACCCATCATGCCATTAAACAAGATTGGCAAGGGGGCATCTTTTTTCTCACTCCAATACTTGCAAACAATCCTGATCTCTCTAATTTGGTTTAACACCATTTGTACATTCACTGTTTGTTAGTGTCATGTTTGTGTAAAATATTCAGGTACTTAACCTTTTTGAACTTGGCCAAATCCATTCTATCTGTACAGTGTTTTATGTCCTTTGGAACCTATAAATACAGTTACCATGTCCTTACCAGATTTACAGTATTGTCATGTAGTTCTCTTGTTATGAAGGTAAAATCTGAGTGGGTCTTAACTAGCGAAATGCACGTTGCTTCAAAGTGTTCGTTCTGTAAGCTTTTACCCTTTATTGAAATTCTTAAATGTGTGACATGATAACTGAGACATCACCCACTGCAACCTAATGGCTTAATAAACATGTATTGCAGCAACGGATATGTACCATTGAAAGAGGTGTCTTTTATGCAGTCCATTTTGAGACTATATAGTGAGGGACATTGGGAAAAGTTAGGGTTTGAGAGCCAGTGATGCCATGAATTGCAGTTGATTGTGAATTGCAAGCCAGCTGCCATCCAAGTGAGGATGTGAACATGAAGCAGCTGTAACCTTGCGATACCTGCTGAAGACTGTAACCAAGCAATGACTAGTGGAGACTAACAAACTGAGTCATTGCATGTGCTGTAGTGATTTGTTAAGTGTGTAGATTAGTGGTAGTGTTATAATTATGTGTCATTACAAGTTACAAGTGTTAAATAAATCCAGTTACTAATCAAAACCCTGTGTCTTGTCAATGACATGTGACAGTTTGTTTTGCAGCAGTGACTGAGAAACATTATCCCTCTGTCATTATGGCACAGTTTACATCCTTATGTACTGGTGCTGTCACTTCCTTCTTCCAATGATCTGGTTTCTCATTTGAGTGCCAAATATTCATAATTCTATATATCCATTGCATTTATCCGTATGCTGTTGTCATGTTGTTCCATCTTGTCCTGGGTCTTTGTTATTCTTCATATTAGCAATGTTGATTTTGATAACCAACATACATATATTTTCTGTATTTGTTTTTTTGCTTATACTTGCTTTCAGTCTTACATGCTGATTTCAGAATGTTATTTTCATTGCAGTTGGTAAGCGTGGAACAGATGGTACACAAGGAATGGAAACTCACAGATGAGGGGAGGAAGGTTGCAGAAAACGGTAGCCATGAAGCAATTGTCTACAAAGCTGTTCCTCTTCAGGGAATTTTACTGTCTGACCTCACAGTATGTCAATATTAATTTCATATACAGTTACATATTACACTGATGTGTAGCAAGTATAATAAATAAATTGTCAGAATCTTGATCAGGAAATTGAAAATCACCTGAATCATAAAAGTTATGTGTGACACAGTTTACTGAGATAGAGTACATGTTTTGCAGTAAGGTTCTTTATATTTATAGGTATTAGGAACTGCACTTTTCATACTTCACTCAATCATGACGTATAATGGCTGACTTGTGTGATAATGATAATATATCCCCTCTGCAAAGGAAAGTTTGTTAGAATCATGGCAGATGATCAGAAAGGAGTGGCATGAAGACACATGCTATAAAGATCTTTATCATGAAGCTGGCCACTCATCTCAGTCTAGTACCGAGGCTGAGAATGTGTGGAGATATACCTCCACTCCCCTATGTTCTATCAAGTTGTGATGCTTAATTAACTCAATGCAGACTGGTATGCCCTAATTAACAACCCCATCTCCTGGATAATTATGTAATTTCACTTCCTGAGGCAGGGAGCAACTTTGCTTACATTTGTTAAGTTGCGAATGATGCTTTGGAGCTGGATTGTGTGAAAATTGCACTAATACAGTAGTGCTTCATGGTTGCATGGAATGGAATCTCAAAACAGAAACCCCTATGCAGTGGAACACAGCAGAATTTGCAAATGTATCTCACTACACATTTTGTTTGTAGCACAATTGCTAGACTGCCTTGCTAGATACTTTTCCTTTCCTTGAATGGGTGCAGCTATACTTTTCAATTTATGTTTGTTGGAGTTCCCTGATAGTCTGATATTGATTCCTTTACTGGATATGAAACATCATTTGGACAGTACTCAATTGCAGTGTGCTTTGCACATTCTCCCAACCTCATACAAAAATTTTCTGTATTTTGTATTTTGATTCTGGTGTATTGAATATTGAGATCTGACATGGGGGGACAGCCTCCATTCACTCCAGGCACTCAGGCCACTACTGGGCCCATTGTGTGCTCCTTCAAAAGAGCTCTGTTTTCAGTGCTATAGCTGGAACCTGTTCTATTCAAGACCGAATATCTGTGAGCTCCAAATATGCAGAGCCAAAGGATCTTCATTCTGTGCCGTGCCCAGCCAGAGTTGGGCATTGACAACAATTGTGGTAGGAGAATTCCTCCACCTGTCCACATTTCCTGCAAATGGCGTTATCAGAGAGGCCCATAACATGTAGGTGCCAGCTCCATCAGTGGTGTAGCATGACAACCAAAAGCAGGGAAGCGACTTTATATATGTGTATATATACAATTTTTCTAGATACCCTATAGTTTCTATGTTCTATTTAAAAGAAAACAGCTAATAGTTTAATATGTATTGTATACTTAAGCTAATATATTAAAATAACACCTAATTATCAACACAATTTTATAACTGAGTGAACTGAACGGTGTTTGAAGAAGTTTTTCAATCACACAGTGGTTATCACATGAAAATGTCATGTTTCCGTTTGTAACTTAACAGCAATCACAAAAACATTGTCACAAAGTTATAATTACACAAAGCAAAACAAATTCTGTATCGAGAAAAATACAGACTTGTGCATAAGTAACACGCTAACACCTTCTTCTGAAAACTAGTAAGCACGCTTTTTTACTAACAGCATTTTCGAAGTCTCAGCACACCAGGAAAAATTGTGTAACTGCAAGGTCACCGACTTCCAACTGCATAATGCAATGCCTTACAGCCGGCAACATTGCTGGAAGCATTCCGTAACGTTTAGCTAAGCAACAGACTCCTCATATATGGCAACATTGCAGTCCCAGTTGAACCAGAATGAGCATGGAAGCGAACAACCTGTTGCTTCCTTGCACGTTTTATTTTAAAAGTTCCCTGCATTTTGGAAGAAAATAACTGATCTATCCTGATAAATGGTTTATGTAACACATTAAAACTTGCGATATTCTCATTATATGTAATATATGTTCTCAGATTAATTAATATTTTGAAGTATGAAATATTTTTTCGAAATTGAAAAATTGCCAGAAATGTTTTTGGTTGCTTTTCTATAGGGAAGCAATGCTTCCACCACAGCCATGTACCCTATGGCCCTGAGCTCCATGTATAGCGGCCAGTTAACAAATCTGTTACCTGCCTACACTGTTTTCTGTCCAAAGCCAATAGGCCTTCAGTGACACTTCAACTATCTCATACTTCTTGTTTCAGCCCATTATTATTAGTGCTTCTTAATGAGCCACTTCTTAATCTCAGAGGTCTGCCAACACATCAGTTGTTTACATAAGAAGAAAAAAATAATTGAACAGAAGACAATTTACAGTACAGTTGTTTAAGCCACTTGATAGCTTTTGTAAGGATAATATAATCATGTGTTTGGGGGTACACATGACGAAAATAGTGAGTTCTAGATTGGATGATTGAATTTATTGGCACCTCTCTTAATCACACCCAATTATAACATTATTGCTACTCTATGCACTTTCCAGTTCACCATTGCACATGCACTAGGATTCTTGGTCGTCACTAGTCATCTCCTAGCAATGGATCTCAACACAGAAACTAGCACTTCAAATCACTGTCTTCTTGTTATTTCATCATCAGTCACTTTGTACTCCACTTTGCTAATCTGTACTCAACTAATCTTCACAATTCATTAAGGACATGCTCCAATTTCATCCTTATATTCTGAACTTCACTGAACTGCTCTGCACTTCGGTTATTCTGGAACCTCTTGTAATTCTTCAGCACAGACCCCACAGGAAACATGTGTTACATGTCAGACTTTGAGTTCATTGGTCCACTACAAGTACTGGCTGTGGTGCAGATGACCTAGAAAACACAGCCTCATCTATTTTTGTTTGTTGGACTGTGTTTACGGAGCCATTGCCTGGCAATGCGTTGATCAAATCCATTACAGCATGTTATGTACTGATTGGCTCTGACCACACCTTTCATGAATTTGTTGTAGTCTAACACAACTTGGCTTCTTTACAACCTCCCCAGGATTTCTGGCTTTCTCTATCACGTTCACCATTTTGACTCATGAATTTTACTAATCACGAACACCACCTACTTGTCTTTCCAAATTTGGGCTAAAATATCACCCTTTATGTGAAAAAACTATGGCCCATTCTTCATGGCTCTGACTTATTTTTCAAGATCTTTCAGAATTTGACCATTACTCTTCATAGTACCTCAGACTTTTGTTTTTCTTTGCAATGCATTTTTGCACATTTTTGCACTGTTATAAAAGTGTCCTGATTAATGTGGTGATTTACACCCTGTTTTGCAAAACTGAACAGATTGTGCCTTTACACTTTTTCCATTTGGCTGTATGTATTGCCATATTGCATGTATATTCTTATTTAACTTTACACACCTTAATCAGTACCAGTTCATGCTCTATAATTTTCCTGGGATATTCCTTCATCTAGTGATAGTTCTGTTTGCAGGCTGTAAGCTGATCTGAACTTGTGAAGGAAGTTGGATTTTTAAGAAGTTGCCTGAGTCATGGGTGTCCTGGTTGTTGTCACTTAGATCTGAGTTTGCCAGATGGCCTCCAAATGGTTTCTAGTTGTGGTCTAGGGGATAATTGGTGTGCATGTTATGGGGTCTGTTTACTGGTATTCTTTTATGTCACGTGTATGTGTGACTCTCTGCGGGTTTGTGGATTGGATATTAGATTTGTTGACCACTTTTACGTGCATCTCATAATTACATTTAATTATAGTACTTACCTACTTATGGAGCTGAGCCCTTCTTGAGGAGAAGCCAAATCTGCATCTACTCCAAGAATTTTCCAGCAATTTATGGAACCTGAAGTTTCATTACCGTGTTCACAAGAGGCCTCCACTGGTCCTTATCCTGAGCCAGATCAATCCAATCCATACCATCCGATCCTGTCTCTAAGATCCATTTTCACTCTTTGACTGGTGTGAAGGGTATTTAAATGCCACCCCTGTCCCGGCAGACACTTTAAGCTTTAAGTCGCTAAAATGCATGTGTTTACCTTTTTAAATAACTTCAACAAAAATTGGTTTTTAGAAACGAAATTTTCAGGAACTAATAAAAAGACAATATTTTATGCAAAAAAATGTCTTTTCATACCTTTTTAATAGTTTTTCTTCATGTGATAAACATTGAAAAATGAAAGTTTGCAGAGAGCCACACAACAGCTTGCACACATGACACTTGTTTCTTTTCTAATCTTGTGCTTAGAGCACACATGACACTTTCTCATGGCACCATTCTTCTTCTTGTTACTGGGAGGAACATGGACCATTTTGTGTATTTTCAGGCCACCCTCTAGATGATTTGCTGGGTCTTTCACTGGTGGTCTTTTCAAGGTCGCGGGCAGAGGCGTGACTGCACTCAAGTCTGAAGCAATAGATTCGTCATCCACTTCATTTCTTGACTCTTCTCCCTTTCCACACTTTCCACACAAGAAAAACACCAGTTTCTTTGTCCACTTTACAGTTTTGCGGGAACAAGGCTAAGAATGCACCATTTGATCGGCCCTGTCAACCCTTCTCATATGTTTATTGTAGTCCCCAATTACCTCGGGTCTGCATATTTTTTCTCCTTTGCGATTCGTTTTTGCATATTCCACGATTTTTGCTGTGTGAAGAGTGGAGATAAGTTTGACATCTCTTTTATCTCTCCACACCTGTATGAGAACCTGCCCCTTCCTAGAAAACACAGATTTCCCTTTTTTTCAAATTTTTTACGTCATCCTTTAGTTCTTTAGGGGCTCCTCTGTCCATTCTGAAAGTTCCGCACACATAGGTATTTCTCTCTAATAACGTCTCACACAATTCTACACTATTGTAATAGTTATCCTGGTAGAGATGATACCCTTTATCTAGAAGCTGTGACCCCAACAGATCAACAACTAATTCCTTTATAGGTCTTGATTTTCTGCAGTAAATTTCAAAATCCCAAATATCACAATTCAAATGTCGATTCACAAACAAGATAAGCCTTTATACCGTACTTATCAGGTTTGTCA